AGCAATTTGTTTGAATGATCTCAAATTTCTGCTGAAGTCCTACACAGCCAATCAGGACCTTTTCACTAATAAAGCCCCTTGTTACTGGCTGAGAGTTAAAGCAATATGAAGTGGAACTAGGAGATTGGCATCCTGACAGCACCTGCCACAGGTAAGAACTGGAAGGCTACCTTCTCACAACTCTTAAACCTTGGAGCAAAAACACCAGTCAGAATGGGATGGGACTGGGAAGAAATTCAGAAAATTGCACTACAGAAATTGTGCATCCCCAAATTGCATGCAATAGTTTTCTTCTACAACTGCAGTTCAGACATATCCACAGAACTGTTTGGATTTCAGGAAGAGATGCTCCAGCCACATCAGAAGCCAGTATCAAGAGAATATGAGCACAAAGTCACTGCAGCTTACCTAGTTTCCCCTCACTGAGTAGAGGATAGACAAATTAAGGGGGCCGGGGGGGGGGAGAAGTAGAGTCAGAATCTTACGTTACAGGTATATTTTCAGAGATGTTTTCCTAATTACTATCAACTTTGACAACACACCCTCCATTTATCTGTGCATACCTTCCAGAATCAGAAAGACTGCAGTTACTTGCAATAAATATTCAATACCTACTACAGTGTTGATATGTTATTCCAAGAATTCCCAAAGGCTTTCACTTGCATACTAACGTAATTGGTCAGCCTAAACCTTGGATCTTACCTGCACTTAGTGCAGAGGGTTGAGGGGATTCTTTTGTGCCTTACATTCTAACTTCAACCTTGAAGTCAATTGTTTCATTGCCAGTATGATGAACAACCCATAGGTTATCCTCGTTTCTGAGGCAGCTGCCAAAATACAACTTTGCCTTTGGTTACTTTTTCCTGCCTTTGGGCCCAAAGAGCAGAAGTCTTATTATACTGGTTCTGCATCGCTTTAGCCTAAACCTTTATAGTACATCAACTTTCATCCTGTCATTCATTTCCTGAATTTTAGTGAAATGCTTCTGAGGAAGTAAACTATGCAGTTTGTACATTGTTATACATGCAATCAACTAGGCAGAAGTATCCATCTCGGATTCCAGTAACTCAATGAGTAACAGCGATTAGCTCTACTTCAAATAAATTTACAATAAATAATTTCAATTAAAATGCCAGCTTCCACCACAACAGCTGTATAGTATATCAAAAAAAGAAATACAGTGAGTTATTCTTGTTATTGTTACCTAACCATTGGCTTTCTGCACCACAGGTAAGTTTTCAACTCGATCAATATTAAAATTTTCTAAGCTACTAGCTATAATCCAGATGCAAGAATGACATAAAATTGAGAAAAAGAGTTTAGAATAAATTTTTGTATATTAATAACAGACATTCTTCACTTAAGTATTTAACTTCCTGCACCTTGGGAGTGGAAGAGGTTGCAATCAACTTTGGTCATGTTCCGCATGTGCCAAGATCTCCAAGCAATTGATAAACTGTGGATCCTAAAGTTATCTATAAGGACCTAAAACAGCTTTCTACCCCTTTTGCATGACTGGTTTAATGATCAATTAACACAAACTTAAATCATCTTGTATGGTTTTACAGTGTTTGGTTCCAATCTCAATTACCTAAACAGATATATGACAATTAAGTACCTATAAAAGCAGTACAAAGAAAAGAGCTCTATGAAGAGGAAGAAAAAAAAAAAGGGGGGGGGGGGCGCTGCTTAGCGGTGGTTGTTTACTAGTTTGCCTTCTGGCAGATGAAAGAAGTTGTCTTCTTTGAGTTTAAGATGTTCTGGTAAATCTAGTTGTCTTTTTGCTTCTTCAATGTCTTCCTGAATTGCTGAAATGAGTGCCTCTATAAAGAGAAGAAAGAATAGGGATATTTAAAAGCTGAATTCTGAACACACAATACCAAGGGAATATAAGGCATACCACAGAACACCAGAAAACAATCATAAAATCACAATAAAAATTATTACTACACAGTCCGAAAGGCAAAATTCTTTGCAAAATAAGGGTCAGCATTATTACATTCATAATTACATTTTTCAAAGTATCAGGTTTGATTAACATGGACAACAATTTTCCAAGTCTTAGCATACTATTTCTATTGACATCTTATACCTTAAGAAGTACACTTTCTAAAGTACAATTTGAAAAAAAGTCTACAGGAAATTCTGAAACAAAAAAATCAAAATGCTTTGTTTTAAAAATGTCAGAATTGCATTTTTCACTGCTGTAAGCACTACCCTTGTTCCAAATGATGTTTTGGCAAAAAATAAAATAAAATGAAAATTTCAATAGAATTTCGTGAACTGTTTCAAGTGTAACAGAGTTGCATTTTTAAAAAGAAAATGATTGATGCTTTTATGACATGCTCTCGTTTTTAAAAATACTCCTTAGATGAATGACATACTTATTTCAGTCAAAAAATTGTATTGTTAAGTACTGTTACATCAAAGTCATTTTTTAGACTGGAATAAGTAAGTACCAAAGATGTGGCTTTTTTTTTTTGGTTTGTTTTGTTTTTTAATTAAACCAGTTTATACATTAGTAGATTTAACTTACTAAATTATTTTATTACAATTTCAATGATTAAGAGATAAAACAGCTGATTATGAAGAGAGAGATATTGGAAGTACTGTATCATCACTATGCAAGAATAAGACAAATAAGAGACTGGTTTAAGGGACACCTGCAATACTAACCTAAAGAATCAAAGTTTTCTTCCAGTCGAATATATCCTATAATGACTATACTAAGAATTTCCCCATAAAAGTCTTCTTTGAAAGTGTGGATAATGTGCGTTTCCTAAAGGAAGAGAAATAAAAGTTGACACTAATTATGATGAATTTTGAGTTTATTTCCCTTGTTGCAAGGGTGTTCAGCTAACATCCCTAATTCAAATTCTCCCCCATGCATACCAAGAAAAATGAGACACTTAGTTTAACATGTATTATGCCAGATTAAAAGGCTAGGTCTTTTGCTTACGTTAAGAGAGAGAATTGCTTATGTTAGCAGAGAGAATTGTACTTTGCATGCAATTTAAGAAAAATTATTCACTTAGAAGAGTGTTCTAATACTCAAAAAAAGAAAAGAAAACAATTCTCAGAAGAAACACTTCACTGCCACTTATCTCAGAGGTATGATTTCCAGGACAGCAAATTACAAGCAAAATGTAGATTTGTTCAATCATTAAGTTGATGAGGCCAAACAACCGCAATGATTTTGATCAAAATAGCTGGTTTGAAGAGAGCTTTTACAACTAGAATATGTGGAAACTGAATGAGAAAATTCTAAAAGGAGTGAAGGTAGCTATCTTAGAGACAAGGATTCATGCCCAAATAAAAGGGTTTCCAAGTATCAACAATTAAAACAGTTCTGCAAAACTCAGGAAAAGCACCAGAACCTGATAGCAAGAAAAACAGCTGTCACAGCTCAGGATTTTAACTCCTCTGTCCTGTTATTGTTTACTTTTGGATACTGATTCTGTATATCAAGCCACAGCACCACATGTATGCATTCCATCATTTCAGAGAAAAATTAATGAAAAAGCATTAAAAATTAAGATGCCCCAACACCTCTTATTTTAAATGTAGATGACACTGTAGAAGATGAAAGACTAGAGTGTTCCAGCTCATTCTAGGGCTCTCATAACCAGGAAATTCAATATAGCTAAATAAACATAAGCTTAATAGATATCAGCACCATAAGCAACCATTTCAGAAATAAAAATTTAATTTTTATTTCAGGAATATTTATTTAGTGATGGAAGAAGAAAATACATTGCATTCATCTATGGCTGCATGTTCTCTGGCTACTGAGACTATTTTCTTTTCAGAATACAAATATGAGATGGATACCAAATACATTTCTAACAGTAAATGGAATTTCTAGATCTCATTTATGGATCAAGTTCTGCTCACCTTACTCAAAGTAAGCATTTGGCTCATTTAGTATAATCAAAGTACGGCACAAAGCAAAATTCTTACCACTGATTTCTTAATATTCTTATAGAAAGGATTCCATCCTATGCTCAAAACCATTTTATGCACATCTCCATTTCCAACACAGGCCCATCCATAGTATATACCAGTAGAGATATCAGATGGAAAGCTTTCGACTACTTGCTCAGAAAAGTTAGCTGCAAAAATTATAGAAAGTGTACATTTGTGTAAGTCAAGGCCATCACAGATTTTTCAAACACTTAAAGCCGAGATCTGCCTATATGCTATTTACAAACAGAACACTGATGATGATCATAACGATGCAGTGTGCCATTTGGTAAACTGTAAATTACAAAACAGCTTCATAAAATGCAGTCCCTGTGGTAACACCAGAGTTACCATGTCTCCTATGTATACTATTTTATGGTTATATGCATTCTATTCTACAGTTAGAATTAATAAACTGAGGTAAAATATCCAGTCTGAATGCATTTCATTATTAGGATGCTTTCCACAGCTCTAATATGGTCAAAGGAGGGAGAATCAAGTTTCTTCTGCACTACAGAGTATCATCTTAGAATTATTTATATGTTAGTAAAATAATTATTTACAAGAAAAATGCAAAAATAAATTGTTATGATTGTAGTCATCTGTCATGAACGTTTATACACATTGCCTTTTAAAGTATCTATATTTAGGAATTTCTAAGAAAACTACGCATCTAAAGTAAAGTAAATTCTTTTCTGACTGACAGGAATAAACCTAAGCTTCTCCCAAAACAACAATCCTACTTTAGCTTCTTACATGGGTAGATCTATTCATGCAAGGTTTCTAGGTTATTTGACAGAATTTATAGTTAAGTTCATTTTTATCATAGATCACAAGCAGTAACAACTTCCCTCCCACGCTCCCTGATACCTATAATACATCTACACGTAATCAAGAGAAAAATACTAAGTTTGTATTAACAGATGTTGTTACATATACAGTACCTCAAAATTTGTCTTAGAAGGTTTTCTTGTCTACTAGGAATGGCACAACATGCCTGCTAGCTTCAATATCACTTTAAAACAGGCTGAAATTCACTGAAATTCATTTGAATTACACCTCTATCTGTATTTGGACAAGTGAAACCGAGAAGGGCAATGGAAAAATATACTTTTTTTAGGCCAACTCCAGCTGCTCTGCTTTTTAACCTCTGCATTATTCCTTTTGCATCTCCTTCTGTACAGCTATTCCCAATACCTTTCTTGTCCTAAGCCAAGGCATGACAAGTTTACAAGAATGGATATTTTCCAAGCTTCCATATTACAGCACAATGTGGGTGATCACTTTTCAGCATCCTACATATCATCATGATCATCATCAGATGATTTAACTAACAAAAAACCAATCAGAAAGAAAACATTGACTAGAACAGTGGAAAGTAACACAAAGAGGACAAAACTATAAGCATTAAAATTATATCAAAAAAAAAAAGCTAAGCCTATTTACAGAAAGAGCAAGTCATGCCATTAACACAACTGCACAAGGCTGTTGGCCGTCTCCAGAATTTACGAGAAAGTTCACTCCATTTCACCGAGCAGACATTAGTTCGCCACCAGCAACCAAACTCCCACACTTGTTATCCAGCAGAACGGGACTCCCGGGCTCGTTCCGCACAATGTGCCCCTAAAGAGGGCCTCCCTTCAGGTGACCTTTACGCAACAGGCTCCTAAAGTCCAACCCAGACTCAAGGGAAGTCCCGTTCGCTGAAGCATTTCAAGCACCTGCGGTCGCGGGTCAGGGACTGGCGCAGGCACCCTCGCACCGAGGCAAGAGGGGTAGCGAAGCCGGGACCGAACCTGGCCCTCAAGAGCCCCCCGCACGCTGCTCACCTGTGGGGATGCCCAGCTCCTTGGACCCTCTACCGAAGCCCTTCACCACCTCCCCACGGCAGAAGTAGGGGAGATGCTTCATAGGACGGGAAGCGCACGCACGACAGCTGAACATGAAGAGCTCCCAACCCACGGGCGAGCCAGGCGCACAGCCTCACACTGCTTCCTGGCCGCTGCGCAACACTCA